GTAAGACCTGGAGTCTCACAGCTCAGGAGTTCAAGATCGCGCCCTTCCCAGAAACTCCCCCAGACCAAGACTCGTTGCAAAAGCAAGAGGTTTATTAACCATTGCGCAATGGGGTCACCCCTGCCGGTCAGCAAAGAGTGGCACCTGGAGACAAAGGCCTTTAGGTTTTTAAAAGAAAAACTGCGGGAGATTTGAAGTTGCAGTCTTGGCAATTTAGGATTGGATGAGGAAGCTATAAAGTAAGATAACTGGTCAGTCTTAGGTGCTCAAGCTTGGCCAGTCCTGCCAAGTGTGGATGCAGCTGCAATTGAAGGTGGGGGTGGTTAGCTCATCCTTGAAGATTAGGGGCTACAGACTTTTGGCTGGAGGTCAAAAGCTACTCAGAAGAAGTCTAGGTTTGTTGCTAAGAAATGCTATCTCAAAGACAGGAGTTTTTCTTTTTGCTGAGTGAAGGTCATTGCTTGCTTGCCTTTTTTTCTATCTGTCCTCATAGATAGGGTCACATTTTTCCATTCTCTGGAAAGGTACTAAGAGGCTTTAGCTTAACCTGAACCTAAAACTCAAAACTATAGGCTTTAGAAGACATACAGGTTACAAAGTTAGTCTAACCCTTTCACATGCAAGTTCTTTGGTTGGTGGTTCAGTCTCTTTTAGGCTTCATGGGCCCAAGTTAGTTGACTCTATAGGCCTTTCTGTGTCCTTGACCCCTCCAAATTCCTTCCCTTCCCCCTTCCACAAAACTGCCTGAGCTTGGCCTATTGTTTGGCTGTGGGTCTCTGCACCTGGAAAGGAAAGCTGAAGCTCCCTGTAGGCATCGGGACCTCTTTTTCTCAGGTACCTATCAATTTTCAATTAATCTATTAATGAGGCACCAAAATAAATAAATTTTCACATGAATTTGGCAAAATGGACTCACCATGGCCAAACTGATGGAAGCCAATGCTGAGAGCAACATTGTGTTTCCAATATGGCAGCATTCCCTAGGTAAATGCATAGCTGAGAGGTAGCAGGTTGCTCAGTCAGCATGGAAGGAGCAGCACTTTGTTCTTACCACAGTGGATCCTTTCTCTGGACTCCCCTCCCACATCTGCTGCTCTCTGTCAAAACGATCACTTACAGACTCATGCAATGCTTTACTCACAATAGAGTTCATTTCACAGAAGACCAGGTGTGGAAACTGGCTGACATACATGGAGTTTATCAGTCTTGGGGGTAAGGAGTGTATGTAAGGTTTGTTCATGTGAAACACACTTATGAGCACGGAGGCCAACAATCAATCTCAGATGTTTCTCCAGAGAGACCCACCCTGTGCCTTGGGACAGGGTCTTTACTGGGACCTGAGGCTAGACACTTAGGCTAGGCTAAGGATTTGCCTGTTTCCAGCTCCCGAGTGATGAGTTGCAAGCACGTGCTACCACCATGGCAGGATCTGATGTGGGTTCTGGGTATCAAACTCAGGCCCTCAGACTTGTAGTTGCCTCATACAGACCGAGCCATCACACCAGCCATTTATCAGCCTTACTACCAGAACTTCTACATCCTGATACAACTAACCTGCTAGCTGCCAGTGCCTGTTAAGAACCAGCTATTTTGGCTGCTAATGGCAACACCTTACAGGCACTGTCATCTTGGATGTGCTAAATACTTTTCAAAACTAACATCTGGTTTATACTTCTGTTTCTCCTACAACACAGAATCACAGAACCAGACTCCAAGTACTCACTGGACGCAAACAGGAGTGAGTCCTCTCACTGTGAAAATCTCTAACTAGAGGCCAGACATATGGCTCAGCTGGAAAACGTGCCAAGCCCAACAGCCTGAGTTCAGTGCGAGTGACCCACATGGTGGAAGAGATAACTAACTTGAAAAAGTTGTCTTCTGACTTCCATCAGCCCGTGGTGGCAGAAGACCAAAACCACACACACACACACACACACACACACACACACACACACACACACTCACACACTCACACACACAAATCACAAATAAAAAAATTGAAAAAAAAGCACCATGACTATAAAAATAAAACTGTAATGTCGTAAGCATGTCTTCACAATTCTCTTATGACCATCATTTGTTAAAACTGTAAATTTGTTTTATGTTTATTATTTATGTCATTTCCCTTGTCATCTTTTTTTGAAACATGCTGCAGTGTCCTGCCTGATAGCCACTGTGTAGACTGGTATAACCTCACAGAGATCAGCCTGCCTCTGCATCAAAGTGTGGAGATTAAAGGCCTGTACTGCCATACCCAGCTTGTCCTTCACTCCCTTATCAAACACAAGAGAACTGAATAACTGTTAAGGGAGTTTCTTGTATTAAACAGACTGGATATAGAGGAGGGAAAGAAATCAAATAAGAATAGAATTTCTGGCCCCAAACTACCTTCTAAATATGTATGTTCGCAGCCATAGAGAAGCGCTACTCTCTACCTAACCAGACAGCTCTGTGATGAACGGCAGTGAGTACAGAGACTCCTGACTGCTGGGGGCTGAGGATGAGTGACAGTTCAGTGCTCACTCCTAAAAGACATTTATATCGCTCCCTCTGAGTTTCAGGAATCATCAGGTGAAAAAGGATGGGTGCGGGGTGTAAGAGGCAGAAGATAAGGAAAATGCTGAAAATGCTGTCCTCTTGGCACGGCACAGCATTTGTAACCGGGATCCTGCAGCATCTGAGTGTGGCAGTCCAGGCCTTTGACCCCTCGCTTCTGAGGCTGAGGTAGGCATGTCTAGGAGTTCCATGCCAGCCTGGTCTACAGGCTGATTTCCACGAAAATCATGACTATATAGTGAGATCCTCACATACACACACACACACACACACACACACACACACACACACGGATAAATAAAGCCCAAAAGAAATGAAATCCAACTTCCCCACATTTTATTGGTCCAACACAGTCAGATATCTACACATAATTTTTGAATCATCTCATAGGCACAGAACTCCATCTCTTCCTTCATCAGTGTCCAACTCTATAAATCTCTATCCCACAGGTTTTTCTTCATCTGCCTCTTGTCTCCCTTCCTACCTTAGAAACCTTTCTAAATAAGTTTTTATCCCTATTTATAACCCACAAATAGCCTTTTCCCTTTCTTCTCAGAAAGCCTTCTTCATATTCCGGCCAAATGTCACCCTTGGCCTTTAAGCATAGCTGACAACTAGCTACCTTCTATCAAGCTTCCCAGGATGCTTCAAGCTCTTGCGGTGTCTCACCTGGGATTTCTTCCGTGGGTGCTGGTGGGCATAAGAAGCATAGAAGAGAAATGGAAAAGGAAGGAGGGTCCCCATGGGCACACACATACTCTGTTGCTCATGCCAAGAAGCCTTGTGTGAGGTGTTCATCAGACTTCCTTCTCCGACCCTGGAGATTTCCACTTACTACTGAAGCGGAATAGAAGACGCCAATGCAACAACGTTGCACCAGTTACCTGAGTCACAGCCTCACAGGAGACACAGGACATGTGGCTCCAGGAGGGGTTCACAGTCCCTGATGCCGAGCCTTCTCAGCCCATGCCAATGTCCATTCTACAACTGGCCTGCTCTCATCCCTACTACGTCAGCTTTGGAAACACCTAGATGTTGTCTCTGGCTTTAAACATCCATCTACATCACCTTTCCACCCCAATTTCTGAGCTTATTCAGCAGGACTCCTCATTACTATTTCCTTATTAAGATGCTAAACATGAGCTGGAGAGATGGCTCAGTGGTAAGATCACAGAGGACCCAGGTTCAATTTCCAGCACTCACATTGCAGCTCACAATTGTCTGTAACTCCTGTTCCAGGGGATCCAACAGCCTCACATACACATACATGCAAGCAAAACACTAATGTGTGTAAAATAAAAATAAATTATTTTAAAAGATGCTTAATATAATATCATCAAACTTTGATCATCAAAGTTTCCAAAGTCAAAAGAAAATCTGATTCATATTTTCTGTTATCTCATTGATTACAGTTAGCCTTCCTCATTGTTTTGTATTAATTCTTTATGTAACAAAAATCTAAATTTTTAGTTTCCTGTCAGGGACCCCTTCCCTGTTTACTCAGCAGTAATCAAAACAGAGTTGCCCTGACATGAGCCAAGCACAAGAAAAGAGGAACACCGTCTATGAGAAATGAAATGTTCCTTATCCTGGAGGACCTATGATTTCAGCTGAGACAGGCAGACATTGTTGGGCAAATGGATCTGGGATTTTCACCCAAATGACACATCTTGGTTCAAGGGCCAATGGTTCTCCTCTGGGAAATAATACCCAATATACCAATTAATTTATGTTCCACACATAAAGATAAGCATCCCTAAAGAGTTTACTCAAAGTTTGCACTTTGGAGTCGGGGAATGAGATATTTTGGAGAAGTTGACTCTGATGATAACACAGAAATATTCTCTCTGAGGGTCAATTAACTGTGCAGACAAACAATTCTAAAGTCTCTGGATTGTTTTTCATTTTCAATTCCAAGCCTTTCTCATAACTGTACATTCAGTCCCTTAAGAACATTCTGAGAAAGATCTAGTCTCTCTTACGTAGTGGACAGACCATCTTGAGGGTTTCACCAAGGGTCTTATTACAGAAAAGAAAGTCATAAAGAGTACACAGTCATTTCCACCCTCACTCTTGATTAGATTCCCCCATTGCATAGGCTACATGGGTAAATCATGTCAAGTGATGCCTTGTCTGGGGGCAAAGCAAGAAAATGTCATATCTCTTTATCTCTTTATTTACTTTGATCTATTTCCCATACATTGGCCTCCTTCTCATTATAAGGATATGCTGAAGAAGCCATGAGGGATCAGACTAAAGGAATTGTGGCATATAAACCCAATGGAGTTTTATTTAGCCATTAAAAAAGTATAAATGTACATTATTTGAAGGAAAATTAGTGGACTGTAGATCATGTTAAGCGAAATAAACCAGACTCAGAAAGAAAAATGTCTTCTTTTATATGAAGACTCTAGATTGTATATCTATATAAGATATATGTATATGCTTGCTTTGGCAGTGCATATACTAAAATTGGAATGATATGAAGGAGATTACCATGGCCCTTGTACAAGAATGACACACAAATTTGTGATGCATTCCATATTTTGAAGCTGAGATTCACAGCCAAACATTGGACAGAGCGCAGGGAGTCGTAGGAAAGAGTGAGGTAACAGAAAGACCCGGAAGGGACAGGAACTCTATAACAAGACCAACAGAGCCAACGAATCTGGACCCAGGGCAGCCTACAGAGACTGATGCACCAACCAAGGACCACGCATGGAGAGGACCTAGAACCCCTGTTCAGATGATAGCCCATAGGTAGCTCAGTCTCCAAGTGGGTTCCCTAGTAAGAGGAGCAGGGCCTGTCTCTGACATGGACTCTGATGCCAGCTCTTTGATCACAACCCCGTTGCCAGGCCACAAAGGAAGAGGATGCAGGCAGTCCTAACAAGACTTGATAAGCTGGGGTCAGATGGTAGGGGAGGAGGTTTCCCCCTTTCTGAGAACTAGGGGAGGAGAAAAGAGAGGGACTGTAGGATCAGAAGGAGAATATGGAGGGGACTATAATGAAATGTAAAGTGAATAAATTATAAGCAAATAAATATATATGTATACATACACATATGTGTTATACACTTATGCCACAAAAAACAGAGAGGGCTCCGTTGTAGGGAATAAGGACAACAATATGAGAGGCACTAATGTGAGAAACATGAGCAAAATACAATTATATGCATGTATGCAGATGTCATAATAAATCCATTATTTTGTATGCTAACAAAAATAAATAAATAAAAGACAAAAAAAAGGGTCTTACAGCCTGCGAGATGACGGTTCGATGGCTAAGAGCACTTGCTGCTCTTGCAAAGGACCTGAGCTTCGTTTGCAGTGCCCATGCCAGGCTTCTCACAGCCACCTGTAACTCCAGATCCAAGCGAGCTGACACCTCTGATCTTCAAGGGCAGCTGCATACACATGAAGCTAGCCCCATACACACACACGTGCATACATACACACATACTTAAAAGTAATTTAAAAAAAACAAAAATTGAGTGTTGTTACTCTATCATTATTTGGATATTAAATGTCTGGATTGGCTCCATATTTTCCCTTATTCTTTTTTTGAATGTATAGCTTTTTAATATAACTTTTATTTATTACAATTTATTCACTTTGTATCCCAGATGTAGCCCCCTCTCTCATTCCCTCCCAATCCTGCCCTTCCTCCATCCCTCATTTCCTCCCATGTGCCTTCCACAGTCCACTGATAAGTAGAGGTCCTCCTCCCCTTCCATCTGACCCTAGCCTATCAGGTCTCATCAGGACTGTCTTTCAGGCTTCCTATGTGGCCTGGTAAGGCTGCCCCCACCTCAGGGGGGGTGATCAAAGAGCCAGCCACTGAGTTCATGTCAGAGACAGTCCTTGTTCCCCTTACTAGGAAACCCACTTGGATACTGAGCTGCCATGGGCTACATCTGAGCAGGGGTTCTAGGTTATCTCCACGCATGTTCCTTGGTTGGAGTATCAGTCTCAGAAAACACCCCTGGGCACAGATTTTTTGTTCTGTTGTTCTGCTTGTGGAACTCCAGACCCTTCTAGGTCTTTCTAGCTCCCCCTTCTTTCATAAGATTCCCTGCATTCTGCCCAAAGTTTGGCTATGAGTCTCAGCATCCACTTTAATACCCTGCTGGGTAGAGTCTTTCAGAGGCCCTCTGTGATAGGCTCCTGTCTTGTTCCTTGTTTTCACCTTCTTTCTATGTCTATCCCATTTGCCTTTCTGAATGAGGATTGAGCATCTTACCCAGGATCCTCCTTCTTGCTTAGCTTCTTTAGTTGGTACAGATTTTACTATGTTTATCCTATATTATATGTCTAATGTCCACTTATAAGTTAGTATATACCATGTGTGTTTTTCTGCTTCTGGGATACCTCACTCAGGATAATCTTTTCTAGTTCCCACCATTTACCTGAAAATTTCATGATTTCTTTGTTTTTAATTGCTGAGTAGTATTCCATTGTGTAAATGTACCACAATTTCTGTAGTCATTCCTCAATTGAGGGACATCTGGGTTGTTTCCAGCTTCTGGCTATTATGAATAAAGCTGCTATAAACATGGTTGAGCAAGCTTTAAGTAAATTAAATGCGCCACCGATTTATTCAGAGAATTTTTTTTTAAGACAGGGCTTCTCTGTGTAGCCCTGGCTTCCTGGAACTCAGCCCTGTTTCCCAAGGACTGGAATCAAAGGTGTGTGACACCACTAGCCAGCTTATTCAAAGAGTTTCTGATTCTTTGATCTGTTATTCTCCTTTACACCAGAATATGGTGTCTCTTTAGTTGAGGCAGCTATTACATCTGTATCGTTCATTATTGGACCAACACATGATGAGTGTCTGTCCCATTCCCAGCACTGCATGGTTGTTCAGCATTTGTGGAGTGTTTAACAAGCACACAGTCCTTTCCCTAATAGGGAAATAAACTGCCACCATCTTGAGGTATTGCAATACTCATGCTGAATGGGCTGGGGCATAGATCAGTAAAAAAGCACCAGCCTAGCGTTCTAAAGGCCTGGATTTGATCTCCAGCCTTAAAAATCAAAAGAAACATCCCAAGGTGTAGAATTTGTGTTTCTGAGTCATTTTGCTTTACATATTGACTGCCAGGTGCATACGTTTTTCCACTAGTGCCGTGATTTCGTCTTTTGCATAGTTAAATGAAATTCCATTCTACATAAGCGTCACATTTACCAGTTCATCTATGGATAGGCATACAGAGTGGTGCCATTTCCTAGGAATAGTGCAGGAATGGACAAGGATGTGCAAGCATCTCCAATGTATGTTGATTTCTTTGGGCACATGCCCAAAAGATACAGTGGGTCTTATGGTGGTTCTATTTTGTGTTTTATAGAAACCTTCACACTGACTTCCATAGTTGATGCAGCAGCTTGCATTCACACCAGAACTTGTTTTCTTGATAACCATTCTGACTAGAATGAGGTGGAATTCTAGAACACTTCTTGTATTTCCCTGATAGCTAATGACGGTGAGTGCTTTTTCAAATGTTTACTAGCTATTTGTATTTCCTTTTATTTGATTCATTAGCCCATTGGAGATGGGAAAGTAATGAGTGTCTAATTTTTATGAATTTTCATATACTCTGGATAATAATTATTTACCTAATGTGTGGGTGGCAATGACTCCCCAGGGCTGTAGTCTTTCTCTTCACTCTGGTTGCTTCCTTTGGTCTACAGAAGCTTCTCAATTTTGCATAGTGCCATTTGTCAATCCTTGGGATTGTCTCCTGTGCTACTGGAGTCTTCTTCAGAAAGTCCTTGCTTACACCTATACTTTTGAAGTTTTGCCCATGTTTTCTCAACAGTTTTAAATTTTCATTAAAGCTTTTGCATGGAGAACCCAGCTCCACATGAGGATAACCAAATTTTCTAGTACCATTTGCTAAGGAGGCTGTCTTCTCTCCACTGTGTGTTTTTGATAGTTCTCTCAGAACTTAGGTAGTCTGGCTATATGGTTTATTTATTATTCCTATGGTTTATTTATTTATTTTTCTATTCTATCCCATTGCTCCATGTCTGTTTTGGTGCTAGTAGCACATTGACTTCGTCACTGTAGTTCTGGCTGCTCAGGGGTTTCTCTGTGTATGTTTTCATATTATTTTTTCTGTCATAAAGAATGTCATTGGAATTTTGATTAGATTGCAATAAATCTGTATGTTCCTTTTGATAATGTAGCAATTTTCATAATATAATCATATTAATCCATGAGCATGGGAGGAGTTTTCATCTTTACTGTATTCTTTAATCACCTTTTTGGCATTGTCAAGTTTCGCTGTAAAAGTGTTCTACCTGGTTTAGTTTATTTCAGGCATTTTAAAGATGGCTTATTTTTATTTATATGCATGTGTGTGTGAGGCAGACAATTGGAAAGAAAGAAAGACAGTGAAAATGCCATGTGTATAAATTCAGTACAGATTCTGGGCACTGAATTCAGGTCCTCTGAAAGAGAAGCAAGTTTTCTTAACCACTGAGACATCTCTCCAGCCCCATGCTAGGTATTTTCTAAAGTATTTTGAACTGGGACATTTGCCAAGATTTTCTTCAATGTAAGTTCACTCTTGGTATGTGGGAAAGCTGCTGGTTCTTTCTTGGTAGATGGCTCAGTCTGTAAAGTGCTTATTGCACTAGTATACAGACCTGAGTTCAATCTCCAGCACTCCAGTGGGGCCGGCGTGGCAGCTCTCCCAGCAGTGAGGAGGTGGGGACAAGTGAATGCATGGGGTCACCGGCCAGCCGTGGTGGCCAATCAGTGAGCTCCAAGCTCAGTAAGAGATTTTTATCTCAAGACTGAACCACCAACCGGAGAGAATTCATGGGATGGACAGAGACCCCTACATACATGTAACTCTTTCTGTGAGTGTGAATTTTCAACATTCCACGTGGTAAGTGTTTGCCTTTGGATCTGCTCTTCCGTCTGGATTATTTCACGTAACATGTGCCTTCCAGGGTCATCCATGGTGTTGCAGAATTTTCCATTTTTTCTCTCTTTTGAGACTGAACAATGTTCCACTGTGCATGCATACACATTTCCTCAGTCCATTTGGTGGAAATTTACATCCTTGAGTTTTGTTTTGTTTTGTTTTGTTTTAGCATAATGATCTAATATGTAAAGTATATTTACATTGGGGGGGTTGTTTTGTTTGTTTTATTAAAAATCACTTTTTATTCTTATTATATATTGCATCCTGACAGCAGTTTTCTCCTCCTCCTCTTCCCCCAGGTTCTCCCCCACATCTCCCACTACCCCAGATCTCCCCCACCTCCACCTCCCTCAGAAAAGAGCAGCCTCCCAGGGACATCGACCAAACAGTGCATAACAAACTACAATAAGACCAGGCACACACCATCACCTCAACACAAAGGCCTCTCTTTTGCCTTTACTCTTGAGAGCTAGTTCTGCTGATTGTAGTTCTATGGAGTAAGAGGACTGTTTTTCCTTTTTACACTTCAAATATTCTGCTCTTTTACATTGTATCCAACAGGAAAGGTAATGTCATCTTCATCTTTTTTTCTCCACTCCATAAGAAATCAGAGACATAAATGTAAAAGTTAAAAGTATAAATTTCTTAGATGGAAACACAGCTGTAAATTCATAGTTTTGGGTGAAACAATGGACTTTAAAACGTAGCACCAAAGTCACAAACACAATCACAAAAGAAAAACTGGTAATTAGACTTCATCAAAATGGAAAGCTTTTGTACATCAAAGAACACTGCCATCTCCCTGCTGGCTAGCCTTCCTCATATAAAGAAACAAAACTCTTCCTCGTGTAAGAATCCTATGAGTTACAACGGTCAGCCTCACAAGACATACCCATGGGAACAGTGGAATAGATGTCACAGGATAACCAAATGCTTTGACTAGACTGAGGATCCACCCCTCAAGAGGAGACTCATTCCTGGGACCACAAATCTAGCCAAGAACCCATCTTGAAGAGCTCACAGGCCCTAAAAAAAAAAAAGCCAATTACTAACAGTTTGCTAAATTGACATAGTATCAAATTGTCTTCTAAATGCTTCTTTATACTGATAGATTGGGTCAGTTCTCAGTCCCTACCACAGAAATTTCTCTGTACAGTGGGCAGGGGACAACACACAGGCTCACAATCTGTCAAAATGCAGAAAGCAGATGTGTGTGGAGTACTCAGACCCAAATGAGACATCTATGTCACATCCTTGTCCCCAGAGATCAAGGGAACTTCGGAGAAGGTGGGGAAACAGAGAAGTATAATTTAAAGAGGCAGCTCTCTGGGAGATCTGCCATGTCTTCTAGACAAGGTGAGGAAGTGGTGCTCAAGAACTCGCAGAAGCAGTGGTTGCCTGCACAACCTCAAGGCGCTCAACATCCCAGCGTGGATGAGTGAGGGACTACCCACAGCTGAGGAACTGTTAGCAGCTGATCCGTGCTGGGGGACGGAGAAGTGGGTTGACCATGTTCCGGCAGATGGTTTCACACACGTGCACATTTGAGTAGCCCTGGTGTTGTGCTCAGTGGATTATAGAGAAAAGAAGATGACATTAAATCTGGAGAGGGGCATGACAGGAGACCGAAGATGAGTTAGACAGGGCTATGGGGCAGACATGGCCAAAATGCATGTGTACATGTATGAATGACCAAAGGATGAGCTATGAGAAAGACATAGTACTCCGAGAGAAAAGAAGAGCAAAATCTATGCAGCAAGAGAATATTTTAAATTACTCATTTGATAAGTACCTAACAATCATAACACATAAAGAGTTGTTACAATGCCAAAAAATAAGTGACCTGGTTTTTACTGGCACAGGACTGGGTCTTTTCTACAAAGACATGGAATAAGTGACCAGTGGGCCTGTTGTATGATTCCACCTCTATAAAAACCTCAGAGTAGGATAATCCACGGAAACAGAACATGGGTTGGTGTTTGCTTGTGTTTCGTAGAGAGACAGGAGAGGTAAAAAGTTAGAAGTGACAGTTAATTGATGCGGGAGGTTTTGTTTTGTGTTCTAAGATGTTATTATTTTACTTATTATTGTCGTATGTGTGCGTGATGCCATGTATGTGGAGGTCAGAGGACAACTTGTGGGAGCTGGTTTTCCCCCTTCTCTGTGTGGGTTCTGGAGATGGATCTCAGATGGCGAGCCTTGGTGGCAAGCTCCTTTGCCCACAGTAGCATCTCACCTCACCTGCCACCTCACTGGGTGTGTTGAAGATCCGCTCACAGACAAGGCGGGGAGCTTTATAACCCTGAAAAGCAGAAGTCAGACAGAAGCTGAGGTCTTCACCAGGTCTTCACCAGGGCAGGCAGCACACCGACTAATTACTCATCATAGTCCTCTACAAAAAGTCATGCAACTGACAGAGACAGGTGTTGGGAGATGGTTTCAGGCTAGTAATCAAAATTCATCTGCCTCAGCCAGGCGTGCTGGCTCATGCTTCTACTCTTAGCACTTGGGAGTCAGAGGCAGGTAGTTCTCTGTGAGTTCAAAGCCAGCCTGATCTACATGACGAGTTCCAGGCCACCTGTGGCTACCTACTTCATATATGTGTATGAATGCCTTCTCCACCATAAGGAACTCTACCCCCAAACTGTGAACCAAAGTAAATACTTTCTTCCTTTAAAAAAAAAAAAGTACATCGGAGGGGCTGGAGAGATGTCCCATGCGTACTATGAACATAAGTTTGCTTCCCAGTACCCACATGGGGCAGCTCACAACTGAACCAACTCCAGCGTCAAGAGATCTACTGCCCTCTCTGGCCTCCACAGGCACCTGCACTCATGTGCACAAATACACACACACACACATACAATTTACAGTAAAAAGTTAATTATTTCAGAATGCATCTGCATGGAGACTGGTTGTGTTCACTTTGTAATGTGCGGAGCTGTACACCCCAGAGTATGAGGGATCGCCAACACAGAGACATCAGAGGCAGAGACATGACTGTCAGTGGGGTCCTCACCTGCTTCTCAAAATGGCTCTTTTGTCTCGACCACGGACAAGTCATCAGCTGTGTCCTTGCCTCTTACGGAGCTCTCTGAGGTTGGCAAATGCTTTATGAAGGGGAGTTTGTGCCTGTACACCCTCCAAAGCCTCCCTAAACCCAAAAGCACAAGCTCCAAGAAAGTAAACACGAGGCAGGCCCCGCTGACCCCAAACATGCTGTTGAGGAGGATGGTCTTCTCAGAGGGATGCGACTGGAAACAGGTCGTGCTGCCGATGCAAGGATCCTCGCGACACGTAAAAGTGCTGGGCATCTTGAAGCCATACAGGTGGTACTGAACTCCCAGGGCTGCTCCCTCAAGGACCAGCCGCGCCCCAAGCTGTGCCAGATAGGCCCAGAGGAGCGTGAGGCTTCCCGCCCCTGAGACATCCTTGCGACGACCCCCCTTGCAAATCCGGATCTCTTGCTCCTTGTTCTCCTTTCCTGGCTCCTCCCAGTGTCCAATCACGTGATACAGAGTGAACCCTACATAAATGGCACTGGGTACAGCCATCAGGAGGACTTGGAAGGCCCAGAAGCGCAAAGGAGACAGAGGGCGGAAGACATCGTAACAAACGGTCTTGCAGCCTGGCTGCCCTAAATGACACATGAATTCGTTCTCATCGTCACCAAAGACCCCAGGTCCACTGGAAACCAGAATCAGGAGCCGGAATCCCACGAGCACCGGAAGCACGAAGCGCCCCACGGGGGTGGAATGCTGGCTCTCCTTAGCCAACAGCTGCCTCAGGAACCCGCCGCACATCCTGCCGCTGAGCAGAGAACAGTTAGTGCAGGATTCTCACGGCCTGTCGAGTTCACCGCTAACCCGAGGATCTGCAAAGCAAGCCTTTTTGCTCCTCTCCGAGGTTGATGAAATAGCGTACAGCCAGCTTCGAATGCCTGCAGTGTGATATCTCAGCTGTTCACCTTTATAGACATAAAGGGGCGGGGGGAGAGTTAGCGCACTGTTGTGGCGGTTTAAACTCCAAATAGCACAGCACAGGCTTGGTGAAGGTCACGAATTGAATGAGCATGTCATGTCTTGGAGGGCCATGAAGAGGAAGGCATGTTGGAGCAAAAAGCCTCAACTCAAGGCGAGGGGAAGATGGACAGAATCCTACAACCCCCTTCACGAGTACATGTTCATGGATGGTGAGCTGGCTCAATCGGTAAGTGCCACACAACCATTAAAACCTAAGCTCGGTCCTCAGAAATCATGTCAAATTGCTTCATGTGGTAGTGTGTGCTTGAAACCCACTGTTGGGCAGTCAGAGACAGGAGGATCCTAGCCAAGTGGACAGTCTCCAGCCAACCAGAGATCCTGTCTCAAAAGCAAGGTGGACAACTCCTAGAGAATGATACATAACATTGAGCTACAGTCCACATTACATATATACAGAGAGAGAGAATAGAAACAGGTCCCCAGTGTTCTAAAGACCTCCCATTAAGACTCCACCTCTTATGCTTATTTTTATGCATAGGTGGGTATGTCTCTCTATGTGTATACTGTGTGTGTGTATGTGTGTGTGTGTGTGTGTGTGTGTGTGTGTGTGTGTGTGTCTCCAGAAGAGGGCTTCAGGCATCAGATCCTTTTGAGCTGGAGTTTCAGGTAGTTGTGAGCCACCAGATATGGAAACTGGGAACCAAACTCAGGTCCTCTAGAAGAACAGCAAGCACTTTGTTTGTTTGTTTGTTTGCTTGTTTGTTTGAGACAAGGTTTCTCTATGTAACCTTTGCTGTCCTGGACTCTATTTGTAGATCAGGCTTCCTTGAGTTCAGAGAGATCCGTCTGCCTCTGCCTCCCTGGGAATTAAAGGCGTGCGCCACCATGACATGTGCAACAGGCGCTCCTAAGCACAACGCCATCTCTCTAGCCACAGACAACGGCTCCTCCAGGTCCACAGCACCTTCTAACCCATGAATTTCTGTGAGGTACTCACTGAAACTATATTTAATACCTAGACTCTGGTTCCCCCCTTAGTTACCACTTAAAGAAACATAAAAGAATAATAAGAATTTATGTAGGTAGCCTAGTTTAATTTCTAGTGCTGGGGGGGGGGGACGACTTAAGGACAAAGGGATTTATTCTAGCCTACAATTCCAGGACACCATCCATCACAGCAGGGGAATAAAGCCGGCAGGAACTTAAAGCAAGCAGCCACACTCGAGCAGAGAGAAATGAAAATGTGTACTTCGCCATCAGCTCGCCTTCTCTACGCTTCAACAGCCCAGGACCCAAACCCAGGGAATGGTACTCCCGCTTTCAAGCTGGGTCTTCCCAAATTAATTAAAGTAATCAAGACAAACTGCCTCCCACACACACAGACACACTCACGGGCCAACCTGATGTAGACAATCCCTCACTGAGACTCCCTTCCCAGAGGGTCTAGTTTGTGTCATGTGACAATTAAAATTATCGCCACAGGGGCTGGAAAGATGGCTCCATGGTTAAGAGTGCTTGTTGCTCTTGCAGAGGATCCTGGATCAAATCCCAGCACCCACACTGGTGGCTCGCGACCATCTGTAACTACAGTTCCAGCATATCCAGTGCCCTCTTCTGGCCTCCATGGCAGCATATATACAAATTTACACTCACACACATAAAATAAAATAAAACCTTTTAAGAAATAAAACTATCACAGCTTGTACTCTGATCTAATGCTTTTTATACCTTAGCAGCTTGGGAACAAGACTTTGCCATGATTAAATGCCATAGGGTTTGGGGGAAAACCAACGTGAGGGCAGAAATTTTAATTCATAATCTCTGTTCTTTGACTGTCTGTCTCCCTCATGATGAGAAGTAGTCATTATCGAGGACAAAGTTCAGAAATTTCCCAGTTCTCTGGTCATAACACCAAGTTTGCTGTCTTTATCTCTGACCTAATAGGAACATTCTTCGGTGCCAGGCAGCTGCTTCCAACCATTGCCATTTATCTGAAAGATTTGCACATCTTCCCATTCTCACTCCCAAATGATCATGTGCTATGATCTAACTGTCAGTGTCTTCCCCAAGGTCAGAGGCTGGGGTCTGGGGAGGAGTGGGGGTGTGGCTTAGCAGTAGAGTACTTAACGAAAGATCCCCAGTGGGAAGTTTGGAGGGGTGGCTCAGTGGTAGAGCACCTGCCTACAGTTCCACTGTGAGATACGTGGGGTATATCTGCCTAGCATGTAAGAGGCCCTAGGTTCAACTCCAGAAGAGAGAGAGAGAGAGAGAGAGAGAGAGAGAGAGAGAGAGGAAGGAAGGAAGGAAGGAAGGAAGGAAAAAAGAAGGAAAGAAAGAAAAACAGAAGTAAGGCCTGTAAGTCAGAATGAGTTAGAAGAGACTCTAGAGAGCCCGCGGTCCTTTCCATCAATTGAAGACACAGAGACAGCACCATCCACGAGGAAAAGGCCTAAACCAGGCATTTTAACTGCTAGTGCCTGCATCTTGGACTTCCCAGCCTCCAGAACTGGAAAGCAATGAAGTCCTGTGGATTATAAATTACTCAGTCAAAAACATTTTATAGCAGTTTTATCAGACTAAGATACTATGCTAACCTCTTGTTCCAGGAAGCTCCACCTTTTTGAGAATTTTCCAGATGAGTCCTGTCCTTATATCACCCCACACACACGCTCCTCCCTATTTTACCCATGTCCCTCAGTCCCTCTCAAGGTCATGGTCCCTTATTCTTTAATTGCTATTTTTGCATATATACATATAGACATACGTACACACACAACCTCCTAAGCCTCTGTATTATTACATGTGTGTGTATGTATGTATGTACGTACATTAACGGTGCTTGCTGCCGGAGAAGGTTCGTTCTCTTCTTTAGAAGCTATAACTTGCCTGTAACTCTCTCTAGGAACGGGACCTTGTGAGCGCTCCCCCTCTGCACTGCCATGTAACCTGGTGGAGTCATTTTCCAGGTCTTGCTTAGACCAGCATATTGCTGAGTTTTCACAGATGCGTTCGATGTCCTGGCTCTGCGGCTCCTGTGACCTTTCTCCTCCGGTCTCTCGAGGTGCTCCCTGAGCCATAGCTGTGGTCCCCAGGGCTGAGCACCCCACAGCCTACATTCAGTGGTTCTCTACATTTTGACCAGCTGCAGCTTTCTGTAATGTCTCCATCTACTGCGAAAGGAAGCTTCTTTGAAGGGTGAGAGCTGCAGTTAGTCCTGTGTTTCAGGGTCGTGTTAGTTAGAGTGAGAAGGACCAGCTGTTGCCACAGTTAGTTGCCACTAACTGCAACTGTCTCTATCATGCATGTGTGTGTGTGTGTGTGAGAGAGAGAGAGAGAGAGAGAGAGAGAGATGTGGAGGGTGTATGTACATATCATAGCATGAATGCAGAGGTAGAAAACCCTTTGTGTCGGTCCTCATCTTCCACCTTGCTTAAGGCAGAGTCCTTGTTTTCCACTGTGACTGGCAGGCTGGCTGACCAATGAGCATCCAGGGATTCACTCCACCCACCCTCTCAGCACAGTGCTGCTAGGATGACAGACAGGGACTGCCACACCTCAGCTTTTACGTGTGGTTGGAGGATTCTAACTCAGGTCCTCATGCTTTCACAACAAGCACTTAACTCGCTGAGCCATCTTCCCAACCCATGAGTCTGAAACTCTCTGAGTGCTAACACAATAACACAAGTAGAAAAGTCTCTCCTGACCTCCTGTGACAGGCTACCCTCAACCACTGGTTCACTGAAACAATAGGGGAAATGGATGGAACAGGAAATCATCACACTAAACCAAGCAACCGATGCCCAAAAAGACATATAATGCATGTTTTCTCTCATATGCGGCTTCTAGACTTTAATTTTTGCATATGTATATGTATGTGTTGATATAGGGCATGAAACTAGAAACAGGACTATACCGAGAAACCAAAACATCAAACTAGAGGGGAAAGAGGTCTTAAGATGAGGAAGGGAAGGGGAACAGGGTGGATGTGACATGGAAACAGAATGTGTGGTGATGAGGGGATAAGGGGACCAACTTAGCCTGAGAAGGGAATGAGGGGAGAAATAACAACAAATCACAGGATTGCTTTGTATGCTAAGTGTAAAACACACATAGGACTATAGCTCTGTAAGAATGCTGGCCTCACATGCACAAGTCCCTAGGTCTAGTCAGCACTGCATAAACCAGGTTTGGTGGTGCACACCTGTGATTCTAACCTGGGGAGGTGAAGGCGGGAGGATCCGAAGTTCAAAGTCATTCTCCATTAGACAGTGAGCTTAGGGCTAGTCCTAGATAGATAGATAGATAGATAGATAGATAGATAGATAGATAGATATCCGAAAGATAGATGGATGGATAGATAGATAACAGAAAGATAGATGATGGATAGATGGATAGACGGATGGATATGTAAGCAAGTAAATGATAGAGAGATAGGTATGTAAGCAAATACATGATAGAGAGATAAGTAAGTAAATAGATGAGAGAGAGAGAGATAGGCATGGAAGTATATAGATGATAGATGATGGAGATAGATGATAGATAGATATACAGATGACAGATAGATGATAGATAGTTGATAGGTGTGTAAGCAGACAGACTGTAAGTGAAGCAACAAGCACACACCAAAATTAGGAAAAGAAAGAAAATTCTGGAATTTGAACATATTTTCAAGTACCTAAACAGATTACTTGAAATCCCATCATAATTTTAATGAAAATGTTTCAAAGCATCTCACACACTTTGGGTGGGGAGTTGTCAGGATCTCACCAGTGACTGAATCCACCCCAGAGAGTTTAGGAGCTGGAGAGAAAAGAACCGAGAGGAGGAAGGAACCTGGCAACGCAAGCCTAAACTCATTGCTCCACCTTGGTCTGCCTGGCCTTGAACGCATTCTAGATGCTTCTCTTCAAAGCCTGAAGGGGCGAAACCAGCATCCGCAGAGACCAGAGTCTCGGGCCATTCCCTGCCTTGAAGATCTTCTGCGGATTTCAGAGCCGTCTGAGTAACCATGGGTGCATGCAGCCACAGGTACCCTTGAGGATGGCCTCGACGGGAGCCGCTTACCTGCGCTTGACCGGCAGCTCCAGGCAGAAGCATCAACCACAGGAAAGACGGCAAAAGGGACCCCACACTGCAGCCTGCAGGGTCCGGGACCTCGCGGCGGCCCTGCCTCCTGCAGCCGCCCACTCCTTCGCCTTCTCCTTTTCATTTCTGGTCGCCGGCTGCAGCAGAAAGGAATTCCAACTGAAGCACCAGGCGACCCCGCCCTCGAGGCACAAGCTCTGGACGACTCTGGTGTCAAGAGCACGGGACCGTTCTCTAAGTGAATGGGGCTTTTGAGATCATCTGAAAGGAAAGGAAGGTTTATTATGTACACTCCATTGGTTAATTGTCTCGGGTGTTTGACCTCACTGAGAAGCTGGCTCTGGGAGTAGGGCTGCCCTCCCCCAGTTCCAGACCCAATAGTCCATCACAGTGTCCTCCAATGCCCCTTGTCTGGGGATTAGCTGCCTCCTAGACTCTATGCCGAGGAGGAAGGGAACAGCAAACAGACAAAGAGCACAAACATTATATCCTAGAAAATGGCTAGAAGGAAAACAAACTGTGGGAAAACACAGCAGCCGCTACCACTGTGTGCCCTGTAATACAGAGCTGGAAGTTCAGCCCTGGGGAGCCCAGCCAAGGAGAGAAAACCAATGGGAGCTCCAGCTGACTGCCTCCCCTCTCAGTTTCTGTTGGATTTTGTGAGCACGCGATTTGATGAGGTCACCTCCATCTTTTTATTTGTTCTTTATTTTTCCTCTTTTAGCTTTTCGAGATTGAATTTTAATTACATTTCTCCTTTCTCTTCCTCCCTCCAAACTACCCCCCCCATATACCCCTTCCCTATCTCCTTCCAATCCATGGCCTTTTTCTCATCAATTCTTATTGCATGTGTGTGTAGACAACATGCTGTTAACTCTACCCTGCTGAGTCCATATGATGTTACTCATATGTATGTATTTTAGGGCTGACCGTCTGGCACTGAGTAACCTGCCGGAGGGAGCACTCTCCCCTGGGAAGGGGCACCTCTCCTCTCTCTGCTGCCAGCTTTTCCCGGCTGCCTGTAGGTCTTTGTGTAGGGACACCTTGCTCTGCCCGGGAGCCTCTCCATCCTGCTGGGTGTTTGCAAGCCCGAACACGGGACTACTCATCTCCGTCGCACTGTCGCTTTCCAGGCAGCCACTTACTCTGGCTGGCCATGTGCTTCATGGTCTCATTCATTCAAAGCTGAAAGCAGGCCCAGAAGTGCCCACAAAATAAGCTTACTCACATGTGAGTGTGCCTGGGTGTGAATGCGCCTCTGACGCTTGCACCTGGCCTAGGGGCTTTTTCCCTTCTGTTGGCTTGCCTTGTCCAGCCTCAGTGTGATGGGTTTGCTTCATCGTGTTATGCTTTACTTTGTCATATTTGAATGTTATCTCTTAGAAGCCTGTTCTTTTCATGAGAAGAAAAGAGACAGGGAGTGGCCAGAGGGGAGGGGAGGCGGGAGGAGGCGGGCGGTGGGGGGGGCACTAAAATCAGGATGTGCTGTAGGATCACATGGTTAGTGGCCGATTGTGTCCCTCCATGGGTCTGCACCAGGTAGGTCCCTGCACAGCTGTTAGAGCTTTCAGCCTCGTACTCTTATGGGACTCCTGAGTGTGTGAACAAGGAATGCCAACCTCGAAACTTGAGCCTGGTCAAAATTCTGTGCCTGGGGAGGCCATGAGCCCAGAAGGAGCCGACTGCTGATGTTTCGCTGACTAGGCTTCCATCTGCTCAATGATGGGATACGAAAAAATACTTTTAGTAAGAGGGAAAAATGAAAAAGTTAGTTGTTTATGTTTGCACACAGACTAGTGTTACCCAGAAATGGTCACACAGACACTCGTGACTATTCAAAGTGCTAAGAGAAATAAGTGTGACGTGCTCGGGCCTGAGCAGGATGTCTTCATGATCTGCTCCAAAGCCTGGAGAACTTTTGAGATGTGGGAAAGGAAGACTGTAGGGGTCAGGGCATGGAAAGGAGCACTGTGAACTGCTGTCTTCTGGACATCACACGGCACTCGGGAACTCACAGTTACCTGTGAAAGACTTGCACACGCGCGCACACACACACACACACAGACACACACACAGGGGGAGTATCAAAGGGGCTAATTAGGAACAGCAGAGGGGAGGGGGAAGGGTAGGTAATGCATAGAGAATACAATCACAACTCAAGGTATGCAAGTGTGAGATGGTTAAAAATGAAGAAAGGGTTGGAGAGAAGGCTCAGCTGTCAGCTCACGGTCCCAGGGAATCCAATGCCCTCTTCTGACTTCCCCAGGCACTAGACACGCATATGGTGCATGTGCAGACATGCAGGCACTTACATCAAAGATAAACTAATGTAAAAACAAAGGTTTAACAATGTCCTGTGTGGGCCGAACCCCTCCCCACCACCCCAGTGAGAGCTGACAGAGCTGCGGCACACTTTCCTTCCTCTGTCACCACAGCCAGGAGCCCTCTGGACATGCAGCTCTGAGAGGGGGCGGGCAGTGCTGGGCTTCCTCCTGGACTTTGTGTGTAGGGCGGGAGCACCCACATCCGGGTGAGTGCTGTCGAGGTGTCTGGTTGGCTAGGGGTGATCTAAGGCGGTTCTCAGCCAGCGTCCCTACGTACGCGCATGTTCATGCGTGCACACGCATGCACGGGTGGGGGTGGGGGTGGGGGCACAGAGGTCAGAGGCCAACCTCGGCTGTCATTCCTCAGGAGTTAGCCACCCTGTTTTCTGAGACAGGGTCTCCTGCTGGCCTCTGACTCACCAGGTCGGCCAGCCTGGCTGGTCAGGAAGCCCTAAGGATCTACCCACCTATCTCTGGAATGCTAGGTTACGGACACACCCTCTTTTAACATTGATTTATTTTATTTGGGTGAGTTGGTACACGTGCTTAACTCCAGTACTCGGGAGGAAGAGGCAGGTGGCTCTCTGGCCAGCCTAGTCCACAGAGTTTCAAAACATTGAGGGCTACACGGAGAAATCCTTTCTCAATAATAATAATAAATTTTAATTTTCTAGGTTTATCTCATTTTAATTGAAATTTCATTCAGTCTATCCTGATCACACATTATTCTTCATGCAGCTCCTCCCAGATCCTCTCCACCTCCGCAAGCAGCCAACTCCATGCCTTTCTCTCTCTTTAAAAAACAAACAAAACAAAAACAAGAAACACAAAAAAGCAAAAGCAAAATACACACAAAAAAGATAGCATTGAGTTCATTTATGCTGGCCAATCATTTCTGAGTATGAGGCCTACCCCAAAGTATGGCTAATCCCGTCAGGGAGACTCCAGTGAAGAGAACTAATTCCTCCTTTGCCAGTGAGCATCAGTCCCAGATAACTTCTCAGTTAAGGCTGGGTGCCCATGTCCTCTTCCCCCTCTTGGGGCTGTGACCCCACCTGGCATGAACTTGTGCAGGCTCCACACCCAGTTTTGTTTTTATTTTTTGCTTATTTGTTTGCTTGTTTTGTTAATTCGAATTCTGGAGATCGAACCCTTAGTTCTCATGCTTGCAGAGCAAACACTACGGATTGAGCCACCTCCCCTTTTTTTGTTTTGTCTTGTCTTGTTTTTTGTGTTCCTGTCATTCAGGCAGGCTTCACACTCACAGAACTGGACCTCCTGCCTCCACCTCCCAAATTCTGGGATTACAGGCGCGTGGCATCAGATCTGGCTCACAAATGTTTTCCTAAATCTAGTGAGACTATATGGTAACATACATGCAAAATTAATAAATTAATCAGTAAATATATAGTCAATTTTATTGCAAATTTGTCAGATCCTTTGCTGGGCACTTGAGAAATATCAGTCATAAGCTGTAACTATGCTCATCCTTACTGATCCAGCCAATCAGAGAAAGACGCCCTGAGAACCAATGTGACTGCACTGCATTCCCTCGTATGTGCTCTCACGTGTGAACGAGCACCAGGTCTGTGAGCTGGTACTGACTTTGCGTGTCATTTACACCTTCTGTCCCTCCGTAATTGTAGTCCGATTTTCTTACTGTATTTGTATTTACTCATGCATCTCCTGGAGGGTTTTTCCCATGGTAAATAATGTCAGTGAACTTGCTTTGGATGAATCTTGATGACTGTAAGTTGCACGTGGTGGGAGGAGAGAACTGACAATTGTTCTCTGCCCTCCACACCCCACAGCCACACACAGGAAGGAAGGAGTGAATGTAAAAGAAGAAAGCTTAAGTCAAGTGCATTCCTTTGCATAATCCCGGAATTTGGAAAGTAGAGGCAGGAAAAGTCAGAAAAAGAAAGAGGAGGAGAGGAGAGGAAGGAAGGGAAGGAAAAAGAAAGAAATTACAAGTCAGGCGAGCAGGCTATGTAAGGTGTTCCTACTAGACGCCTTTCTAGGCAGTCACAAATATTGCCTCATTTGACCCATATTCCAAGCCTAGAAAGTGGACCTTAATGCCACCACCCTTGGGTTATAGAAAACTAAGACATGAAGAGGTTAAAATTACCTGAAGAAGTCGCTAAAACAGTGAATGGGAGAGGTAAAATGGAAACAAAGGTTCAAGAATCACGTTTTCCCAGCTGGCTCAACCACCTCTTAGGGAGGGGCCACTGGATGAAGCACACCCAAGTCTCTGCTTGTCATCGGTAAGCACCTGGAAACCAAGAGCTGTGACCCCACCACTTGGGGTTACACAGACGGCCCAGCCCGAGAGTTTAAATGTCTGCACTGGGGGTGGAAAGTGGGGAGAAGCCCAAGGCCCCGGCAATAAGAACATTTTCAATTATGCATGAATTTCCCCCGAGTCCTCAATAGTTCTGCTTATGCACGTCCACAGCCCGGCACAGTGTGGGTATCAGACGAGGAGGCTACAGTTGGCACTGGGGGCAGGAGGGAGGGATGTTCTGCCTCGAGATGTTAAAACACCAAGACAAACTTCTCTTTCATGGCCACCTTCTTGGACTTGCTGCCAGGAAGCCCTCAAAGCAATGCTTTATGCCACCAACAATGTCCTCGCTGTCCCTTCTCCTCCCACCAGATGAGACCAGTCGCCTCCCACAGCCAGATGTTAGCGATGTGTGCCAGGGCCTGGGGTAGCTGGGCACTCAGGGAGCAGCATCACCCGAGGGTGGGGAGTGGAGAGAAGACAACATCCTAGAATAAGGTTCCAACGTGTTGGTCTCGACCCCTCTGGGTTCAAATGACCCTTCACAGGGGTCACCATAGGCCATCAGAAAACACAGGAATTTACATTGCAATTCATAACAGTAGCAAAAATACAGTAATGAAGTAGCAACAGAAGTGATTTTATGGTTGGGGATCCCCACAACATGAGGAACTGTATTAATAGGTAGCAGCATTTGGGCAGAGCACAGGGGATCTTATAGAAGAAGATGGAGATAGAAAGACCTGGAGAATCAAAATACCAAC